TTAACTCCCTCTCCTCCATGTGAGCCCACATGCGCTCTTCACTAAGCATATGCATCTATTCTCACTTAAGCAGAGCAAACCCCAGCTGGCTAGCAAGTGCTGTCAAGGCTGTTGGCGCCTGAGTCATTCCTTGTGCCAAGCATGGACAACGTGAAGAGCTTGCAAGCGTGCTTTGTACGCCTCTGGCCAGCCTTGTACAGGCAGATCTTGGCCTTTGGCAACAGACCAATCAAAGGCTCATCTCTAAGAATCAGCCGCATCAGCACAAAATACCTCCACTCAAAACGGTTGCTCCCCTCCCTTCTTTCATTTCGATCCGACAAAACATATTTTCCCATGGAAGGAAAAGGCCGGCCTTTGTGAAAACGCCACAGCCTGCCCAAGTTACAGTAAAGGTTAATCGCAAACAAGAGACAAGAGGGGGGAAAGACAAAGAGCATCATAGACTTCCCGTTTCAATGGATGTTTTCAGAAATGTATGAATAATTTAAATTATCATTGCCAGAGTTATTTATTCGAGAGATCGGGGTGGGGAAATGCCTGCTCTCTTTTTAATTTTAGTTATTTATTTTATAATTCTCCCCGCGTGCACGCACACACACACACTTTCAATTCTTTCCATTTTTGTCTCATCCCTTTTAAGTGCTGCATTGGCTGTTTTGGGGCATTTGAATCAGGTTTTTTTCCCCTTCTTCTCCGCCCTCCGGAACAATGGGATGTATGAAGACTGAGGGGGCAGCTGAAGAATACCGCCCTTGTTGTCCTCTCTGCTAGTTGACGTTGATTAATGAGGGTGCGGACATGGGCAGAATGTGAGAGAGGGAAGGGGGAAATTAAGAGGACCTGGGGGCACCAGAAGGAGGAAGACAAGGAGGTGACAGCGGGGTGCCAGAACCGTGCCAGCTTCATTGCAAAGGCACGGCAAAAAGGGGGGGAAGCGAGGGTCACCCAGCTCTGTCTTCCACCCTACAAGGTTGCCACAGCCCTGAAGATGTTACTTTGCAGCAGGAGTGGCATTTATCCCTGAGAGGTCACTGCTCTCTCCAGTTAGTATTCCAGGGTTCAGAAGAGAGATGCTGTAAATATCTGCTCCCAAAATGAAAACCGTGTACAGTGGTACCTCGGGTTAAGAACTTAATTCGTTCCGGAGGTCCGCTCTTAACCTGAAACTGTTCTTAACCTGAGGTACCACTTTAGCTAATGGGGCCTCCAACTGCCGCCGCCGCGCGATTTCTGTTCTCATCTTGAAGCAAAGTTCTTAACCTGAGGTACTATTTCTGGATTAGTGGAGTATGTAACCTGAAGCGTTTGTAACCTGAGGTACCACTGTACTTGATTTTATAGGTAAGCCTCCCAACCACACTGCAAGCTAGCAAGGGTTTGGTGTCTGTGTGTGCCCCTGTGTGCCCCTGCTGAGATCTGGGGCAAAGGGGAAGTGGTGATTCCATGCATTAGAATACAGTGGTACCTCGGGTTACAGATGCTTCAGGTTACAGACGCTTCAGGTTACAGACTCTGCTAACCCAGAAATAGTACCTCGGGTTAAGAACTTTGCTTCAGGATGAGAACAGAAATCGTGCTCTGGCGGCGCAGCAGCAGCGGGAGGCCCCATTAGCTAAAGTGGTGCTTCAGGTTAAGAACAGTTTCAGGTAAAGAACGGACCTCCGGAATGAATTAAGTACTTAACCCGAGGTACCACTGTAATCAAGGGCGGCCAGCTCCCAAGAGATTGCAATCTACTCACAGAGTTAAAAAATGACAGTGATTCAAAACTTTTTTAGGGGTTCAGGTCAAAGTTCTTGAGCTTTTTTTAGGGGAGCCAATGTCGCTGAGCTTCTTCGGGGGGAGCCAGTGATCTACCAGTGATATACCACAGACGTCCAGTGATCTACCGGTAGATCACGATCTACCTGTTGGACATGTCTGCATTAGATGATGCACAATCCAGGCAGTTGTGCAGCCACCATTTAGGCTGGCATTCATCTGGGCTTTTGAATGAGGAACACAACAAAATAAAGCCAGGTCCACATTTCTGAAGGTGGGGGATCATGGGTGATTGAGCCAAATGTGCCTCTGATGTGCATCATGAGGCACAACAGCAATTGCAAAAAAAGAGAGGCTAAGAATATGTAATTGAAAGGACTGCCTATATAATCTTTTGCTGATAAGTAGGCTGAAAATATGGGATGAGCATCTGGGAAAACAGAATTAGCTAACGATTCTTGAGGAAGCCGATCTAAGAACGTATAAAGAGTCCTGCATTCTCTTCCCACCTAAGATGCTGAGGGGAAGTCCACAAGCAGGGCATGTGCACAAAAGCCACTGTTTTTGCCTGCACTTCCCAGACTAATAGGCAGGTTGCAACTTAAGTTATCCTTTGGTTTTCCCGCTTCTTGAATATTTTGACACAGCTCCTGGCTCAAGAAATATGGTGTTAAAATAGCAATGTGTAATTGGAGAGAACACTGGAAAATAAATATAAATGTCTGTGAAGATTTTTTTAAACAAACAAACATGCAAACCTTCAATTAATGAAGAAATGGAATCGACTTACTGGTGAACATAAGACCCTATGATTCTTTGAAATGTGAAAACAGACAAAATAGAGATATTCACTCGCCCATGGAAATAGCTGCAATACACCTGGGGAATCATAGCAGCAAGGACTATAGAAATGTGACTATATAAATTTCCCCTTACAAAATGCAATAATCTATGCCCCACAGACCCAAAATCTTGATAATTCTGTCAGGCAGGTTCAAAATCTGGCTAGGATTTCACTTTCTGTGAAAACTGGTGGCCAGCTTACTAAATGTGAGAGAAAGCTTAGCTAATGGCACAAGTCTTTAGTTCTCCAAAATTTCTTTGGACCTTTTCGTTTGAGGAGAAGCTGTTGTGTTGTTGTTGTTTTTCCCTTCATTTTTTTGGGGGGGGCATTACCTGTTTACTTCTGGAGCACCTGTGCTTTGATGTCACAGGGACACAATAGGCAGAACTAGGGGAAGCACAGAACATCAAGGTGAGGGATCTCTCTGTTATGCACAAACACCCTTTGGAAACGGACTTCCACACCACACCTTGATCAAAACTTGCCAAAACAATTGTAGGCAGCGATGGACAATCTGTTCACTTTCTTTCCTCTCACGATTCTCATTTTCCCACTCAAGTTCACTTCTCCACATTTCTCCATTAGTTACTTGTTATTATTAATTGTGATCACTACTACTACACAAGAAAGAACTCGCAGAAATGCACTTAATGTGCATCTTCTTTAATATGCGCATGTTTGCTTGCAATTCTGCCTAATAGAAGGCACTTTTCAAAAATATATGTACATTGCATTGCACATTTCCCCATAATAAATGCATTTATGTGTGCACGTTTTGGGGGGTGGAGAACGACACCGCAAAATTCAGAGAACTGTGAATTTTGAAGGACAGCTGTGTTTGACCTTATCGGTTGTTTTGGTCAGTGCAAATTAGGCAAATTTGCCTTCAAAATTTATCCCGCAACCTCAATTTCTAGCAAGAAAAACTGCTCTATGGGCAGATCAAGCCTATAGCCTGCCAGCTCCTCTGCTTCTTTAGAAGATAAATCAGACATAGCAATGACTCAAAAAATCTCCATCCATCAGCTCCAATGCACACATAGAGCTCTATCGTACTGGGGACTTCATTCATTCAAAAGGCAAACTTCTTGCTTACAGTTGAGATGCAGATGAAGCTTCGTACTGAAACTGAAGTTAGAGCCCCTGTTTGTGCGGAGCTCAGGGTATGCATTACAGCCCAGTAAAGAGTGAATTGGGACCTGCACAGGCCAAGGCTAGGACTTTGGCAAGCTAACAGGAGTTGCCTGCATGCATACTTTGGTGCTTTATTCAAGCTCAGGGATGTAAAATAGACACTTGCCAGAATAATAGTAACAATAGCAATTTAGTGACTTCATTTGTTTTCATTATTGAAAGTGTCAGTTGTTTCATGGCTCATTCGCTTATTTTTCATTTGCTTTCATAACTGAATCAAAACCAGTTCATTTGTTTTCATTATTCCCGCACTGTTTTGCTTCCCTCTGCTTTCGATGGGAAACCGAAGCAGAATTCTGTTGCCTGTAACTTCTGTAATCTATGACCAAGTGGCATGTGATTTTCAGATGATTACATGCCCATTCAAGGTATCGGACCTGTCAGATTGCCAACAGGTTGTCGGAAAGGCCCCCATTTTATAGGCAATTCCACACACATCCCATAAGCGTTCCCCTTAGAGTTCAAAGAGAGGCACAGCTGCTCTACAACTGCTGCTACCTTCTGTGTACACAACATTTCTGAAGGATGAGGCCTTCTAAATTCCAGCTAAGGCAAAAGGTTCCTTCATTCCATTCGCAAATTTTAACGCCACACAAATGCACCCTAACTGCTCTTCTCCCCCTGCTGCATACTTTGACCTATCCACACTGCTCTAGCAGAGCTTGAATTGAACTGAATGAGAGATTAATGCTTCTGTATGCTAAATTCATTTGCTTGTATCCCCACACATTTCCGTAACTAACGCTGGATAGCTCAGTCGGTAGAGGATGAGACACTTAATCTCAGGATCATGATTATGGACAGCTTTTAACTGGTCTTCTAAAATTTGTTTATATAACATTTTCTGACCATGCTGTGATGACTGTGGTTTCTGTGATACCCTGTTTAAAGGGACTATTTTGAAAAGTTTAAATAGCATTTTTGTATTGTTTTGTATTGTTTTCTGGGGGGTACAGCGGTACCTCAGGTTACATATGCTTCAGGTTACATATGCTTCAGGTTACAGACTCCGCTAACCCAGAAATAGTACCTCGGGTTAAGAACTTTGCTTCAGGATGAGAACAGAAATCGTGCTCCGGCAGCGCGGCAGCAGCAGGAGACCCAATTAGCTAAAGTGGTGCT